TATATATTATATATATATATATATATATATATATATATATATATATAATATATGCATGTATGTGTGTGTTGTGTGTGTGTGTGTGTGTGTGTGTGTGTGTGTGTGTGTGTGTGTGTGTGTGTGTGTGTGTGTGTGTGTTGTGTGTGTGTGTGTGTGTGTGTGTGTGTGTGTGTGTGTGTGTGTGTGTGTGTGTGTGTGTGTGTGTGTGTGTACTGTAGAAAGGTATGAATGAGAATGGATTTCTTCACGATACGCGAGATGTATTTGACCGGTTTCGAATAGATCTTCGTCAGAAATACAGAAATACAGTATTTAAATACATCTTTTGTATAGGGAAGATATTTATTCTCATTCACACCTTTCTACATTTGTCAACATGAATACTTTCATGTATATATACATACACACACACACACACACATACGCACGCATACACACACACATATATATATATACATATATATATATATATATATATATAATTTGTTTGTATGTATACATGTCTATATATATATATATATATATATATATATATATATATATATATATATATATATATATATATATGTACACATATATTATATATGTATGTATATTTACATATGTATATATATTATATTATATATATATTATATATATTTATATGAGATATATATGTACACACACACACACACACACACACACACACACACACACACACACACACACATACTATAATATATAATATATATATATATATATATATATATATATATATATATATATGTGATGTGTGTGTGCGCTCGTGTTCGTGTGCGTGCGCGTACGTGTGCCATGTGTGTGTATGTGTGTGTGTGTGTTTGTGTTTGTGTGTAGCAAGTAATAGGATACAGCATTCTATGTGGGATGACTTTCGGCGTAAATGTTGACAAGGGATGAGAGAATAGCCCCCCTCCCCCCCTCCTCCCAGGGAGTCCGCGATATGACCCTCCCCCCCTCCTCCCAGGCGAAGTAAGTCAGATATTTAAGAAGGTTTTAATTGGGCATTTATAACTTTCTCCAAACTTTTTGTATTTTTTGAAATGTTTTAATCTATTGTTGGTTATTTTTAAATGTTAAGCTTTATTTATAATTTTTAAATTTGAAAATGTTATTCTATTTTGTAAAGATAAGTATTATTTATGTTGAAGAAGGAAATGGCATTAATTTTCATAATGATTACATTTATGCTAAAGTTGTGATGTAGCCTATCAGGCTTATTTAAAAAAAAATCTCGTATGCGTATTATGGTTGATTGCTACCTAAAACTAGCCCTGTTCAGCTGTGCAATCGTCATTAAAAGTATTGTGAACTTTTGTTAGGATAAAATCATATTTTCAACAAAAAACTAAGGTAATTTTCAGGGATATGCTCCAACAGTTCTAAGGTAATGTGCTGAAATCTAGGGTAAAATTGACATCTAATGATTATCTCTGCTTATGAGAGCCCTGATAAGAACTAAAATTAAATAAACAGGTCTATTCCAGAGAAAGGGATTAGTGAAGCGGGAAAATTATTGTGTCGTCCGGAATTCGGATGCGGGAGAGGCTCGCGTAAACCGGACACAAGGAATGTTAGTTTTATGATATTGTTTCAAATGAATGGGTCGCATGTGTTTGTATGTGCACACGCACACGCATACGCACACGCACACGAACACGCAAACGCACATGCATACGCACATGCACACAGACACGCACACGCATACGAACACGCACACGCAAACGCACACGCACACACACCCACATATAAATATATTTAATAATTTTATTTTACTGATGATTAAACGGGGAAGGAACAAGCGTTACCAATTTCTTAAAAACAAACAAGCGAAAACACGACAAGATATTCTGATGAATCTCGTATGCAGCAGAAATTAAATGATTATTCAGAAAAGATTATTGTAAAACAGTCTAAGGAACTAATGAACATGGAGGAGGTCGTGTATTAAGACCCAATCCGCTAAAAAAATGATCAGTGATGCTTAGTGAAGCACGGATCAAGGGATGGTAACAGGAATAGGCCTATGCCATTGGGTTTTTGAAGCAAAACAAGCAACGAGCTAAGAAAATGGCGTCGGACGGGATGGTTGCGGAATAACGGCATTTTCCCTCGATTTTTTTAAGGAAACGGGAAGAGCGAGGGAGTGAGGGAGGGAATTGTAGAGGAAAGGAGGGAGGGAGGGAAGGAGGAGAAACGGATAGAAGGAAAGAGAGAGAGAGAGAATGAGAAAGTGGGAGAGACGGTTGTAGAGAGGAGGAGAAGGAAGGAGAAAGATAGAGGCAAAGAAAGAAGGGAGAAGAAGGAGAGGGGAAGAGAAGAAGGACGGGAGGAAGAGACGGAGAGAGGGAGATAGGAGAAGAGAGAAAATGAGATAAATGGAAGGGAGTGGAGTGGAACGGTGAAGAGAGCAAAGGTAAGGTGAGGTGAGGAGTCGAGAGTAAGGGGGAGCTGATGAAAGTTAAGGATATATATATATATATATATATATATATATATATATATATATATATATATATATAGAGAGAGAGAGAGAGAGAGAGAGAGAGAGAGAGAGAGAGAGAGCAAAAAAGAGAACAAGAAAGAAAGAAAGAAAGAGAGAGAGAGAAAGAAAGAAAGAAAAAGTCACAGAAAAGGTTTACCTCCTTGTGCACGTTTATGTACTCAAACACACACGTCAGAAGCAACGCAGTAAGAGGATTTGCAAGCACTTTACGTCTTGATGGTGCAAAGTTCTGTCAATTATAATTAGGATGTTTTTTTTTTTTTTATCGAAAGACACGCGGGGTACAATTTTGATTCACGCCTAAATCCACGTGATTTTTTCATGCCGTATGTGCTGCTACAATAACATGCGATCTCAGAAATATGCCCGCACGCACACTACACACACCACAACATTGCTCAACTCGACTTGCTCCGTCTGTCTGTCTGTCTGTCTGTGTCTGTCTGTCTGTCTGTCTTTGTCTCTTTCTGTCTGTCTATCTTCCTGTCTGTGTCTCTGTCTGTCTGTGTGTGCGTCTCTCTCTCTGCCTGTGTCTGTGTCTGTATGTCTGTCTCTCTCTCTGTCTGTGTCTCTGTCGGTCTGTCTGTGTCTCTCTCTGTCTGGCTGTCTGTGTTTCTCTCTGTTTCTGTCTGTGTCTCTCTCTGTCTCTGTCTGTTTGTCTGTGTCTCTGTCTGTCTGTGTTTCTCTCTGTCTGTCTGTCTGTCTGTATCTCTGTCAGTGTCCCTCTCTGTCTGTGTCTCTGTCTGTCTCTGTCTGTCTGTCTGTCTGTCAGTGTTTTTCTCTCTGTCTGTCTGTTGTGTCTCTCTCTGTCTCTGTCTCTGTCTCTGTCTCTGTCTGTCTGTGTTTCTCTCTGTCTCTGTCTGTATATCTGTCAGTGTCCCTCTCTGTCTGTTTGTCTGAGTGTGTCTGTCTGTCTCTGTCTGTCTGTCAGTCTGTCAGTGTTCCTCTCTGTCTGTGTCTCTCTCTGTATGTGTCTCTGTCTGTCTGTATGTCTGTCTGTCTGTCTGTCTGTCTGTCTGTCTATCTCTCTCTCTCTCTCTCTGACTCTGTGTGTTTCTCTCTGTCTGTCTGTCTGTCTGTGTGTCTGTGTCTCTGTCTGTCTATCTGTCTCTCTTTCTGCCTCTGTCTGTTTGTCTGTGTCTCTGTCTGTCTGTCTGTCTGTGTCTCTCTGTCTGTCTGCCTGTGTCTCTGTCTCTCTCTGTCTGTGTCTATCTGTCTGTCACTCTCTCTGTCTCTCTCTGTTTTTCTCTCTCTCTGTCTGTCTGCCCCTCTCTGTCTCAGACTGTCTGCCTGTCTCTCTCTCTCTCTCTCTCTGTCTGTCTATGTCCCTCTCTGTCTCAGACTGTTTGTCTGCTTCTGTCTGTGTCTCTGTCTGTCTGACTGTCTGTCTGTGTCTCTCTCTCTCTCTCTCTCTCTCTCTCTCTCTCTCTCTCTCTCTCTCTCTCTCTCTCTCTCTCTCTCTCTCTCTCTCTCTCTCTCTCTCTCTCTCTCCTCTCTCTCTCTCTGCTTCTCTCTCGCTCTCTCTCTCTCTTCTCTTTCTCTTTCTTTCTTTCTTTCTTCTTTCTTTTCTTTCTTTCTTTCTTTCTTTCTCTCTCTCTCTCTCTCTCTCTCTCTCTCTCTCTCTCTCTCTCTCTCTCTCTCTCTCTCTCTCTCTCTCTCTCTCTCTCTCTTTCTTTCTTTCTTTCTTTCTTTCTCTTCTTTCTCTCTCTCTCTCTCTCTCTCTCTCCTCTCTCTCTCTCTCTCTCTCTCTCTCTCTCTCTCTCTCTCTCTCTCTCTCTCTCTCTCTCTCTCTCTCTCTCTCCCTTCCCTCTCTCCCTCTCTCCCTCCCTCCTCTCTCCCTCCTCCCTCCCTCCCTCCCTCCCTCCCTCCCTCCCTCCCTCCCTCCCCCCTTCCCTCCCTCCCTCCCTCCCTCCCTCCCTATCTCCCCCTCTTCCTCATTTCCCCTCCCTTCCAACCTCCCCTTCCCTTCCCTTCTGTTCCCTTCCAGTCTCTTTCTTCTCCCCTCTTCCCTCTTTTCCCCTGCCCCCTCTCCTCTTCACTTCTCTCCATTTGCCCACCTCTCTTCCCCTCCCCTTTTTACCTTGACTCCATCTCTTTCTTTCTTCCCCTTCTTCTCCTCTCCTCCCTTCCCCTCATCTCTCCCTCCTCTCTTTCCTTTCCTCTCATCTCTCCCTCCTCTCTTTCCTTTCCTTTCCTTTCCTCTCCTCTTGTCTCTCTCACCCCTCTCTCTCCCTTTCCCCTTTCTAGGTCTCTATCTCTTCCTTCCCCCTTGCTCTGTCATGATCTTTCCCCCTTCCTTTCATTCCTCTTTTTCCTCTTCCTGTATCTTCATTATCTTCTGCTCATCTTTGTGGGTGTTTATATTTCTTTTACTCACTTATTCTCTGTCATACTGCAAATCTATCATATTTTTTATCATTCTTAAGAAAAGAAAATTAATATTAATGCCCCCCTTTTTTTTTTACTTTCATTCAAGAAGCAGGATGGAAGTATGGCAGAAGACATGCCTTTTACTGTGCCTGTATGGTTTCCTGAAGGAGCTGCGTCCTTCAGAACCTTTCCTAACGGAATACCTGAAGGGACCCCAACACAACCTCACAGAAGATCAGGTAATATGAAATCACTCTCCTACAAATTCTGAGGAGGAATATATTCTTTTATAGAATTATTGGTAGAAGTAGATGTCCGATTAAAGATTATGACAGGCAGTTTGTTAATTTTTCTTTTTATCTGCAAAATTTGATGATTCTTTTAAAGTGTTTGCAAAGAAGATATTAGTGATTTGTAATGTGTTTAAGCATATTCAAGTCTATTGCATTAGTTGTATGTTAATTTATCATAAGATATGAATTACATAAGATACAACATTACATATTAATTATTGTAGCCTCCTAAAGATAAGAATTTTCAAAGATCTACTACTATTTTCACATTTTAAAATATTGCACAGCCAATCAATTAATACATCATTTATTTCAAAGATTAGAGTGACATATTGCATAAGTCTTAAGATTTGACAAATATATATAATTTTCTGTTCTTGCAGATATACATACAAGTATACCCAGTATGGACGTATTCTTACCTCTCTCTGCTCGTGGTTGTGTTCCTTCTGACGGACCTTCTGCGGTACAAACCGATGATTGTATTTGAGGGCATTGGTTACATAGCCACATGGGGCCTTCTGCTGTGGGCAGGTGGTGTTCACTGGATGCAGCTTATGGAGTTTTGTTATGGTATAGCTACATCTACTGAAGTGGCTTACTTTACGTACATTTATGCTCAAGTTTCTGGGGTATATTATCAGCGTGTGACGAGTTTCACGCGAGCAGCTCTTCTTACTGGAAGGTTTATGTCGGGGTTATTATCTCAGGTTAGTATTATCTCATACAGCCAGAGATACATATTAGCTGAATTTTTTAGCAGAAAGTGTTGCATATTATAATTTTATGATTTATTTTTATTAGAGTTGGGTTGGATCTATATTTGCCATAAGAACCTATGTGTATATTTTAGAATAAATCATTGACTCAATATCTTTTTTGTTTAAACTGAGATTGTGAAATATTTGATAATAATTTTTTCAGGTACTTACGTCAACAGGTCTAATGGATTACCATACGCTGAATTATTTCTCATTTGCAAGCGTGTCGTTGGCCTTCATTGTTGCTTGTTTTCTGCCGTCTGTAAAAACTAGCATTTACTTCCATCGAAGAGATTATCTTCCCAGTAGTGATGACTCTGCACATCTTCACAATGATGATGAAGATGGACATATAACCACAAAATTGAGAAAGGTACTGTATAAATCTATGGAGGTCAACTGATTTATTAAGATTTTTTTCTCTCCTCTTTTTTTGCTTCACCCAATGCTGCTGGTGTTTATTTTATATATATATTACTGTCACCAATGAGCTGACTATGAGTACTACTGTCTCACCTGTTTACCCTTTTCCTTGATTTTTGGAAATACTTTCTTGTATCTTATATTGGTGTTAATAATGTCATTAACACTATAATACTTATAATCTCTATAATAATAATAAAAGATTTGATAATGATAGTGTCAATGTGCAGACATTTCTCAAACCAATACTGGTGGAGTCTACAGTGAACACATTTTCCTGGTGAAATATGACTCTTTGATTATGTCTCTGAATTGGAGTTTCATTCCTAGAAATACTTGATATATTGACATCCTTTGCACTACTGCTGGCATTTAGGTATGCCCTCCAGACTGCCTCAGTTGTATGGTACATGAACTAGGATTTATGCAGTATAGGATACTGCTTACTTGACACAAAATTAATATGGTTTGGAATGTGCAGTTGGGTCTGCCATAAGGTTATTCCTTGTCAACTTTGGTTATGTATTTAGGGATTATCCTCTGGTTTGCTTTCATCATATATGACAGTGGTCATATATTGTAAATGGTTCTACTTTCATCCTGCTGTATATCACCCTTTTTCCACTTTCGTAAATTCCTCTTTATTAAAGGCTTTATAGGTCTGGATTTTGGACTAAGAATCAATTTACATAGGGACATCTCCTCTGATCAGTCTACTGTATAGACAGTTGTTATTATCCCTGCCTCAGTCATCTGAATGAGTTATATGAGACACAGAACATTGAGTATATATACATAGGGTTTAGTGCCTTTACTTAAATTGTGATATCTATTTTGAGTGCCAGCACTATGCGATATTTCTAAAACTTTTATTTAACCTTGCATATGATAAGTTTCAATTACATTTGTTTATTGTTTAAATGTGCAATGGACCAGCCTTACAATGAAGCAAATACTCACATCCACAGAATTAGCAGAAATTGTTGATTAGCAAATGGCAATAATATTTCAGCATGACTAACCAATAATGCAGATGGAAATGCTGCATTTGTTAATGATATTGATTTCAGTTCTGAAATTATACAGAATTCTGCAATGAAGGATATCAGTATTATTTTGAATACCATTAAACATTTTGTTTACATGCTGCTTTTGAAATATTTTTATATTTTCAAGTATATATATTATTACCATGTTTTTACTTTTTTTAGGTAGCGAGCTTGATTTGGCAAGATTTTAAGAGTGCCTACAGTAACAAATACCTCCTGAAGTGGTCCATCTGGTGGGCATTTGCAACCTGTGGGAATTTCCAAGTAGGGAACTACATCCAGCCCCTGTGGGAAGAGATTGCACCCATGGAAGAAACTGAGAACTTGTACAATGGGGCAGTGGAAGCTACGCAGACGTTATTAAGTAAGCTGGGCAAGGAATATCAACGGAGAAGCTAAAAGAATTTTTAGGTGTAATGATTATGTATGTAGTTATCCAAAAATGTTGAGATGTAGTATTTCTAGGAAGCAGTTGATACCTTATATATTTTCCTCCGGACAGGTGCTCTTTCTGCCTTCAGTGTGGGATACTTCCACCTCAACTGGTCCCTGTTTGGTGAAGGGACTTTAGCCCTAATATCTCTCATTGATGGCATTGTGCTCCTCTTCATGGGTCTGACTTCATGGATCTGGGTGGCGTACATCAATTATATTCTCTTCAGAGTCTCCTACCAAGTACTTATAACTATTGCAAGGTAATTGTGTTTTGGTCAGTTGTTCATCTCCCTTAGCATCTGCGTTTTAGATAAAGGATAGGATTGATTTTAATGGATTATTTTATACAGTAACTGCCAGATATTTATCAGTTTTCCTGGAAATAGTTAGAATGGATATATAGACATGATAGGCCAACAATTTCCAGCTGTTGATGGGTATAAGTTCATCCTAGATCCATGCCCAATATTTTATGAAAGATTTTTATCTTTGTCAAGGAAATGATAATGGTAATAAAAAAAATAATCAAATCATTTGCCAAGATAGTTTTTTTTATAACAGAAAAAAAGAAAAAGAAAAGATAAAAAAATATGAGCCCTACATCAGGTAAAGCATTGTCTTTCCAGAATTATTTTATCATATATTTCTTTTACAAAGTTAGCTCAAGATTCATTAGTGAAATTTGGTACTTTAGGAAATAATATGTAATGATTTTTAAGGTCTATTTCACAATGATATATCAATGTGATTGTATATTAGTATAAACATTTTTTTGAAAAATTCCCAGAAAATAATACAGTAATATAATTTAGTATGAAAATTTATCTCTCAGAGAAATTGTGATTATTTCTTTAATCATTGAAATTTAATGTCGGGATATATGATCATTATGTTTTTTGGTTATGAACATTTATTTCTCAGCAAAAAACTATTATATATTTTGTGATAAATGATTTGTCCCTCTTTTTCCACGAACATTTATCTCTGAAAAGAATGAGCATTTCTCTTCTGCGACTCTCAATATTCCACTTGCAGTTACCAAGTTGCAAAAGAGCTCAGAGCTGACAGCTATGGCCTTATATTCGGAATCAACATGTTTGTTGCGCTCTTCCTTCAGTCCGTCCTAACACTTGTTGTGGTTCAAGTGCTCGAAATTGGAGTGAAGTTACAGGTAAGAATTTTTTTGGGAAACCTTGACAATGAATATTAGCATATTAATTTTTTTTTTCTATAGGTTTATGAGATTATAAAGTGATTAAAAAAAGTTGAGTATGGTGGCATGGTATATAATGAATAAATTAAAATCTATGAGAAGTTGATAGGTAATCCATGTAAAAAAGGAAAAAAAAAATACTTAAAGGTTTTTCAGCTACAGTCTTTTTAGCTTCATTGTAATTGCAAATACATTGGTCTGATAATTTTCTAACTTTTTTCATTTCATTTTCTTAAAGCTTTACTTTTGACAGAAAGTAGGCAATTGAGTTATAGCATAATAACATGAAAACTATTGAAAAATGGCAATAAAGCATAGTCTGTCTGTTAAAGATGTAGAACTTAAATGTCACATGATAAATGGTACATAGGATGAACACATGATCAAATTCATTGTACATTGTAAACTAGAAGACACTGAGAAAGATAGAATTTATAAATGTCTTTCAGTCTTAAAAAAGAAAGAAAGGAAGAAAGAAAAGAAAATCAGTGTCTAATCATTTTTTTGACTGATTTAATTCTTTCATTTTCAGTTTATCATCTATGGGTCTTACTTTATGGTCCTTGCCTTCTTCTTCTTCATTCTTTCGGCATACACCTGCGGCAGACTAGGCATATCAGGCATGCGGGAGCTGGGAGTGTGGGAGAAGAAACCACAGGAGGAAAATCAAGAACCCCCTGTTGGAACCACAGAAGCTGTTTAGAAGAAAATAAAGCAAAGAAAGAAAGATGAAGAATAAAACTGATGCACAAATTTTATGTCTGAGATGCTTCATTTTTTTGTTATTAATTTTTAATTTTGTTCGAAAGTTGATAGTATGACAAGAAATTTATTATGTTATAAATTGGTAGAAAACATTTTATGCAAGGCATGTTTATTGAAAGATGAGGCATTTTCAAAATCCTCCTGGTTTTCACTTTCAGGTCTGAAGA